TAATTGAAAGATCATATAACAAGTTTACAAAACATCTTAAAAATATTTTAAGGATGTTTATAAAACATAGTACAAACACTTTTCTTATCAAAGGCTTTAAACTTTGAAGTATGCTTATTTAACATTCGAAAAACTTACATCATACAAACGTAATACCAATGGCCTATCCAGCGGGGGGGGGGCAACTCCCCCCCGACCGGGCATTTTTCCATGCAAAGACCAGCAATGAGGTTTACAATGGAAAATGGAAACGGCTTCGAATCCATTACTTCATTGTTGTTGATGTTTTCTCAGAAGAGGAAGAGGAACGACTTTTCATACTACATTGTCCGTGTACTTTGTCACAAAAACCTGCCAATTCAGTAAACGCATGGCTTCACAGTGGATCAACATCACACATACAAACATAAAATTCCAAAATATTCGGCACAACAAATTTCTTTGAAAGGCCTGTGTCAAGTGCCCAACCTTAAAGGTGAACTTCTGACTAGCCAATATTTACATATATCCGATAAGATTGAAAGAAATCACGCTATTAGCCAACGATGTGTTGGGTATACATTAATTTCATGCATCAAAACTCTGTGACCTCATAGGATTAATGTTGGCCGATCCCCTCGTTTCCCCATACCTGATTTGCTTTGTTTTGAGAAAAGCTGAATAATGTTATGTCGCTACTACGTGTTGAGTTAAATAAAAAGAGATTCGGCTGCCACCACTATGAATAAATATTTTCCTTGGGATTTTTTTAATTGGGCATTATTAGTTGATTCTTTGTTGAAACCATAAGTTTTTTGACATGCAATGACTGTTTCGAATTGTAAAAAAATTCGAAGTGTTTTTGAATACTGTTCATTAAATTAAAAGCAGATTCTTTACAAATTTAATGTTTTTACTTCGTGGACGGTGGAGGAATTATGAATGAATGAAAGCAACCTGATCGAGTCGGGATGGCGACAGTCACCGTGTTGATGCATGGTTCCTCGCAATCTTCAAATTACTTTGAATGTACCTACGATATGATTCAAGCTCCCTGCTTGAAGATTCTCTTGTCGTTTGTCAAGCAATATTTATTAATTAATGCAGTGATTTGGCCCAACAGTATGTTGGCTAGAAAACATTATCGCAGCAACTGTCCAGGTATTGTTTTTATTCTGATTTTTTTACCATATTTTCAAAACCAAATTTGTTTGCTAACGGGAAGTGCTACCCCATTGCTTGATTCAAGCAGTGGACGTGGATATATGAGAAAAGTACTTCACCGTCCTTTCACAGAAATCTAATACGATTTTTAAAACCTTTGAATGGCTAGGAAATAGTGAAATACTTGAAACTTAAAATTTAAGCTAAAATTGACCACAGGAGAACATTAATCATAATCCCTCCAGCACATGAGCCTTTTTCATAACCATAACTACAAGTGTCTTTTCAGCTTTTGTAATGGTGGCGGATAAGCTAGCAAATGAATGTTGAAAAGAGCAAGGAATGGATAAATAA